GTTGTCAGTAAAGGAAAAAAACAGCCTTTAAATACATGTTTTCCCAACATAAATAAATATAATAAAAATACATGAAATAATATACATGTATTTGGAAGCATAAAAGAGACTAGTTTGGAACTTCTTTTTTTCCAAGCCTTCAAAGTGCACAGCCATATTCAAAGAACGACCAATGTACCAAACATTATTTTTTCCTTTTTGATAAAACTGTCCTTTTTAAAAAATGTCTCTCCCACAAGATACACGTGATAAAATTCCTAAAACTTATGGACGACATGAACCAACTGCAGAACCTCACCCTATATTGGAAACATTTGACAATGATGTCGCTACAAGTTCTGGTCAAACTTCAACATCATATTTTTCTTCGACTGCAGCCCCTTCGCATATATATCAAAACACATTAACATCTCCATATTCCCCCTCAGCCAAAACAAATATCTCACTTAACGTTCCTACAAAAGTTACAAGAACGTTCTTTGGTGACACTAGAATACATATTGGCGATAATTTTCCAACTTTTTCAGATGCAATGCCTCACAATCCTGTCACCCTAACCACCATCACCACCCAACCCTCTCCAATTCAATATCCCTCAATCGGTTCTGCCGATGTGCGAGGCCATCAACGTGAAGCCTCTGATCTATCACGAGGTTTTTTGCGTTTGGACTCGATGACCTTGAAATTCTGTAAAATTTGTCAGGAAACAGAAGATACGACAGACAGTAGCTCACATGCAAAAAACCGGTTGATTTCTCCATGTAAGTGTAAAGGTTCTTTACAGTACGTCCATCTCAGTTGCCTGAATGAATGGCGTGCCACCACCTTACGTCAGGACGCTTCATACCGATGTGAAGTGTGCAAATATGAGTATAGATTTTATAGACCAAGATTGGCCAAAATCTTAGAAAGCAAAATTTTTCTTCACACTATGACTTTTATGATATTCCTTTTGGTTATTTGTGTGACTTCGTGGATTATACTAGTGATTGATATACATCTAATAAATAAGCATTCGCCACCTCATCCCACTGCCCTCAACTCCTGGATACATACTAATGTCTTAGGTATGGAAGTTCTACACCTGATCATCGGGGCAAGTATAATATCATTTATAGGTATATGTTACTTGATGGTTAAGTTGTGTAAGAATGAATATGATTCGATGGTGGGAGATTGTTTTTGTTTTGATAGTAGAGGTGCCAATTGCTATTTGTACTGTAATGGAGGCTGTGGAGGAGACTGTGGGGAGTGTGCTGTGGTATTGCTTTTTATTATCTTAGTTGTGATATTTTCAATTGGGATATTTGGAGCGTTGAGCGCCGGTTATCTCTTAATTCAAAGGTTCAGTAGTATCTACTTGGATAGGATTAAGGAGGTTATTTTAGAAGTTCCAAAGGATTAATGTTTATGCATTTATTTTTGTATCTGTCACCGTATACGAAAATAGAAATATTTAGACTAGTTTGTTGTCTTCTTTCTTTGTGTCTATTGGCTGCTATTCAACTAGTTTTTTGTTTATAAGTTATCGATGGATTTATACGACGGTGGAAAAAAAAATTTTTTTTTTCTTTTTTTTTTTTTTTAGAAAATTATATGGTATACTGTATGTCGCATAATATTATTTTAAAAAATAAATTTCTTTGCGCATTTTAATAAATAATACAGTATTATACGGTATATCAATTAATTTGTTTTTGTTTTTCTTTCTTTATTATAACAGCATATTGTATTAAACATCGTTAAAACTATAAAATATTAATGTATGCACATATTTTTAGACCCGCATGCTATATACCGTAGTAGTAATCTGGAGAATCGATTAATTGGAACCTTTACTTCTTAAGAATTACGGGACAAATCTAATACAGAAAATTTTTGTATTTATGTTAGATGCAGGGTCCTAAAGTACTTGACTAATTATCACTATACTGTACGTATACGTAGTATGTGAAACATTCTCGGTTCAGGACTTTTATTTATAGTTACTTTTTCCTAAGTACGCGAGCAAAGTAGATTCACCGGCCACGATTTATGAACTTTATGAACTGCAAATAATGAAACTTCATGTTTGTCCAGAAAATCCACCTATTATTCCTTACGGATTGTTATTCTATACTGTACGTAGTTTGAAATGTGATGATTACGTTATGGATATACCCGATCGTTTTTAATTAATCTGCATTCCTATTTAAGAAACAAAGTCAAGTTGCGTATTGAATATTTGATCTCTCAACACTGCACTGTTGGTTTTTTTCCAGTTCTTATCAGTTTTAACATACGGTATGTCGGAAATAACGCAACTTATTGCCGTGCGACCACCAAGTGAAGAAACTGTCATTGTTCAAGCAAATTTTGTAGAAATAAAGACGGTCATTCTTCAAAAATCCTATTTTGTGATTTTTTTTCTTATAAATAAAGAAATAAATAAACGAATGCGTGACCATTTCTTATCGCATTCCTACAGTTCGATTACCCGACAATTAAATCTTATACAGTCGAGGTTAAGGTTTGGAGAAGAAAAGTCTTCGGAAAAATTTTCAATGATGCCATCATTAAGTTGATAAAAGAAAGAAAGTTGGATCGATACGTCGCTTATGATGGACGGCTTTTATACTCTCTTAGAAATATCAGGGGTAGATTCAAAGTAACTATTTCGTGCTGTACATACAGTATATACATATATGTTCACACTATACATATAGTATATACGTATGTTAACACCTTTATTCTCATAGGTCGTCGTCCTTGATGACGATAGTCGCCGGAAAACTTGCGACGTAATGATCAAATATTCCAGGAACATTCCACTTAGAGATATTGTCAAAGTTAAGACAAATTACGTTTGGAATTTGGAAAATCCAGAATATTCTTGCCGTTCTTAACGCATTTTTAACAACTAAAATTCGTACACAATATCATGCGTTTGGTGAAAAAAAAATTTTCCCCAAACCCTCGGAAGTAAATAGAGTTTTTATATATGGAGGAATCGAGTTTATGCATGGTTTTTATCAATCTATTTGTCCCGGGTGGGGTAAGTATTTTAATAATGTGATATAACGTTTCCCTTCCTAACTCCAATTTACAAATTTTAGAAAAGTTGCTTGTCAATGTGAACTGTTGCATGAAAGTCTATTACCCTTCGGGTCCATTAATTGATTACGTGCCTCAAATTCTTTGTGAGCCTGGGACATATAAAACGACTAAAGAAGATCTGAGAAGAGGTCTTTCGGTGCGTGATATAAACACGTTAACTAGGATTCTAAAAAACTGTTATGTGACCATCAATTCTCGTGCTAACGGTAAAAAGAGAAAGATCCGGATTTTGAGTATCTCCTCTGAATCCTCTAATAACCTCTACATAGGAAATAATCAGTTCACTGTTAGTCAACATTATAAGGATAAATTGGGAACCCCTCTACAATACCCCATGCTTCCGTGTGTTGTCGCAAATAACCTTTGGACGGATAATGCTTACTACTATCCAATGGAGATGTGCGAGATAATTTCCGGTGAGCTTTTTTTTTTTTTTTTCTTCGCAGTAATTTTTTTCTTAATGATATCAAATATATCGAAACAATAACAAAGAATTTATAGGTCAGAAATATCCTACCAACAATCTTTCATGCCAACAACGAACGGACGTATTTAAAAAATCAGTGATCAGGCCGAAGGATCGTTTTAACATAATTCATACGCGATTAATAATATACAGTATATAAGTATAGGGAAGACGAAGTCCTGAGATCCATTGGAATGGAATTAGACGACAAATTTATCGAGCTAACATGTAATTTTTCCTTGTGTTTTTTCATGTTTCAAGATCATTATAGTGTTAGACTATTCAAAAATTTCAACTTAAACTCCTTTTCAGCGCGTGTACTTAAGGCACCACAGTTAGTTGCTCAAGAGGGTGATAGGATTACACCCGAAGCAGGTTGCTGGGAAATTAAAAAATTCTCAAAAGTAATTAATCACAATTTTTTATTGATTAGATAACAAATGTATAAGTCATGCGACATATTAATTTCATTTTAGGCATCCATACTTGCAAATTGGTCTGTTGTTTCATTCGAAAATCCTAGATACCTAAGAGAGGCAGAGATAATAAATGCATTAAAACTGTTAATCAGAGAAATGTTAGCGAAGGGAATCGTAGGCAAATCCGAGTTTTACGAATTTTTACTAGTGTATCGTTAACTGAAATAAGCTTGCAAAAAATCCCTTTTTGCTTCATTATTTTAACAGAATGTACAAGGCCATCCACCAATCCACTTTGCAAATCCTCAAGGGAATGTTAGCCAAGTATATATATATATATACTGTACATATTTAAAGATGTATCCGAACTAATTTTCAATATTAATAGTCGCTCATGATCGGTGTCAAAAATATTATCGGGTCCACATCAAAATCTCCACCCTTTGTTATCTGTATAATTCATACCGCCAGAAACGAGTTGTATCGAGACATCAAGAAATGTTGCGCTACCGAATTGGGAATAATATCCCAATGTATAGTCGGTTCGAACATGAGACATGGACGTAGATGGGAGATTATATGTTCGAACCTTGCTCTTAAGATTAATGGTAAGTTGGGTGGGACAAATTCTGCATTAGCACCACCCGAAATGAGATTCTTTGAGAAAGATTCAAAGGACAAGGTGAGTCAAGAAGGTTCATCCGATGCAATTTATTGACGACTTTTCAAATTTACATTCTCTTTTTATCTTAGTTTATGTTCTTCGGTGCGAAAGTCTCCCACCCAAACCATTGTGAAAAATGAGGGGACACCCAACTGTCGCTGCAGTATGTGCCTCGATAAATCCTGAAGCTACCAGATACGCGGCTCGTTACAGAACGATTTTTTCGCCAAATAATGAAATTATCGATCAAATTAGTCCGATGGTAATCGATTTGATCAAGCTATACAAGGAAAATAATAACGATTTTCCGGATCAGATTGTATTTTATCGAGATGGTATGGCTGGAGGCCAAATAGAGAGCATCATCAGGACGGAGATCCTTCCCACGGAAGATGAACTGAAAAAATTATATGGATCACGAAGGCCGCCTAAATTCACTTTTGTTATTATACAGAAGCACCACAGTGCCCGGTAATGGTTTTTTTGTTTATGTAAGATTTATTTGATAACGTTATTTTAAATGTCCTTTTTTTCCTTCCGCTTTCACAGGTTTGTTCCGTCAATTATAAGGATTCTGATCCCAGAGGTGGAAACTGTAAACCTGGCACAGTAATTGACACGGGTACAGTCATGCCACGAGATTTTACC